GAGAAAAGGGCCTTGTCTGTGGAAGATCAAAGGTTTCTCAACTTTATTGAAGGGAATATGCAGTTCAAAGATGGACATTACATTGTTCCCTTGCCATGGAAAAATCAAAATGCAGTTCTTCCCGACAATCATAAATTAGCCCAGCGGCGATATGACTTGCTGGAAAAAAGGTTTATGCGGGATCCCGAGCTTAAACAAAGATACTCGGAGTTCATGAAGAATATGATGACTAAGGGATACATGGAGGAGGTAGACGAAAAAACGTATGTGGGCAGCAAAGCATGGTATATACCACGTCATCCTGTCGTAAATGAGAAAAAACCCGGTAAAATCAGGGTTGTTTTTGACTGCGCAGCCAAGTATGCGGGCGTGGCACTGAATGACCTACTGCTGCAGGGTCCAGATATAAATAACACCCTGATCGGAGTTCTTATCAAATTTAGAGCAGAGAGAATTGCCCTTACAGCCGATATTGAAAGCATTTTCTTGCAGGTCATTGTTAAGGAGCAAGATAGAGATAGCCTTCGGTTCTACTGGCGTCCAGTAGATGGACAGCCAATTAAGACATTCCGGATGACGAGACATCTATTTGGTGCCACTTGCTCACCAGCTTGTGCCAACACGACATTGAGAAGGACATTGGAAGATCATGGTATGAAATATTGTGTTGAGGCAAGACAGGCAATGAAAGAGAATTTTTATGTTGATGATTGCCTGGCATCGGCACCTGACCAGATGAAGGCAGTACGCATGATCAAAGACCTGTCCAACCTCTGTCTTGATGGGGGTTTCCATTTAACCAAATGGCTGTCCAATGATAAAGAAGTGCTAAACACAGTTCCTGAAGCAGAAAGAGCCCCGGAACTGAAGTCTTTGGATTTAAATAACGATGACTTGCCAACAGGTAGAACCCTGGGAGTACAATGGTCACCTCAACTGGACACACTAAGCTTTAACATAGCAGCAGCCGAAAGGAATTACACAAGAAGGGGAATCTTGTCTATTACCAGCTCGGTCTTTGATCCATTGGGATTGGTGGCCCCTTTCATTCTCCCAGCAAAAATGCTACTGCAAGATCTCTGTCGGCAAGGCCTAGGTTGGGACGAACTCATTGATGATTTCTCAATGCAGCGGTGGAGGATATGGTTAGAGGAGCTAAAGAGGCTCAAAGAATGGAGTATGCCGAGGTGTTATAAGTCAAATCTATCCTCAAATATAATAAGTATACAGCTCCATGTATTTTCGGACGCGAGCGAGAAGGGGTATGGCATGTGCGCCTATTTGAAGCAGGAAGCCCAAGATGGAACAATACAAGTTTCCCTTGTCTTAGCAAGAAGTAGAGTGGCTCCTTTGAAATATGTATCTATCCCTCGTATGGAGTTGAAGATGTGTATAAGAGACAGATGGCAACCAGATCAGGAAGTTGAATATCAAGGAAGTTTGTTACTGGACAGACAGCCAGACTGTTCTTAAGTATTTACAGAGTGATACCAGAAGATTTAAAATGTTCGTAGCTAATCGTGTTTCTACTTTATTGGACTTGACCAAAATTTCACAATGGAGATACGTCAGAACGGCTGACAACCCAGCCGATGAAGCCTCTAGAGGCCAAGGTATTGATGGTTTCTTGCGAAATAAGCGATGGATCAATGGGCCTGATTTTCTTGATCAACATGTTGAGCAGCACATAAACCCACAGGAATGTTTGGTTGAAATTGATGAGAATGACCCAGAAGTCAAGAAGGTTTCCAATGAGATGTGTATAAGAGACAGGATCTGAACACCACTTTCAAGCATGTTTTATGTTTCAGTAAATCCTGTCTCTTATACACATCTAGATGTGTATAAGAGACAGAGTTTTAAAGTTTGTCAGAAGAGCAAGAAAGAATCAATCAAAGAGCAATGATGTTGATCAATTGGAGGCCGCAGAGAGGTTCATTATAGTTCATGAACAACAGAAACATTTTGCGGCGGAGTTAACTGCATTGAAGAATGGGGAGAAGAAATCGATAACTGCCGTAATGAAAGCTAGTCCCTTGCGTAAGCTGGACCCTATGCTGGTAGATGGAGTTATCGTAGTTGGGGGAAGACTGAGAAGAGCAGCCCTCCCAGACAGAATGAAGCATCAGATAATAATCCCCAAGAGATCTGAAATGCCTGAATGCGATACGGAGATTTGTATGCAGGAGAGGGTTAATCTCCTCCATCAGAACTGATAACGGAACAAATTTTGTGGCTGCAAGCAATGAGCTAAGCAAAGCCGTGGAAACATGGAGCAGAAGTCAAATCCCTCAATGGCTGGCTCAACATGGAATTCGATGGGAGTTCAACCCACCCGGTGCTTCCCACTTCAGTGGCGTATGGGAGCGCCTAATTAGAGTTGTCCGCCAGGTTATGAATGGAGTTCTAAAAGAACAGCATCTTCGACTTGATGATGAGGGTCTTTGTACCTTGTTTTGTGAGGTAGAACACATAGTAAATGGAAGGCTGATTACCACAGTATCGTCAGATGCAGACGACTTGCGACCATTAACACCGAATATGATTCTAACAATGAATGAAAAATCTGTACTCCCACCCGGAGTTTTCGATAAAACAGACATGTATGTCCGAAGGCGGTGGCGCCAAATACAATATTTGGCCAATTTATATTGGACAAGATGGCGTAAGGAGTATTTGCCTCTAATGCAAAAGAGACAAAAATGGCTGTTTCCGAAGAGAAATTTGCAAAATGGAGACATTGTGCTAATTGTTGACGATTCATTACCCAGAAGTACTTGGCTCCTTGGACGAGTTATTGAAACCAAAGCAGACAGCAGAGGACTTGTTCGGTCATGTAAGGTGAAAACACAGCATTCTACATTAGAAAGACCCATCACTAAATTGTGTTTGTTAATGGAATCAGAGGACAATGGGGCAGAATAAACCCCTCAGTTTAATAACCGGAGGGACAGTCTACTCCCTGAGATGGTTATCATTGTCAAGATATTAGTTACTGATTAATAATAGTTGAATCTTATTGTACTGTGGAAGTGGTGATTGAAAAGCAGAAAGCTATTTACATTGACCTTCATACTTTTTGATTTAATGTTGACATTGTATGTAAATTAGTTTTTCAGATGTTATGTTTAATTTCCGAGTGTTTCAGGAATTATTATATTAGTGTAATTGATCCTCAATGTAATGAGTTATCTATAGTATAAATCTCTTAACTAATGAGGGCGCACTTGCTATGAAGAAGCGAAGTCATGGCGGTACTCGTTGATTAGTTCGAATTACAGAAGTGAAGAAACCTGATTTGATTTATGTAAACACGTTGCCCTATAAGGCGGGGATAAGTTATTAGAAGCCACAAATCTTCGGTAAGCTATCAGTTCTGTTGTTAATAATATGTAGGCTTGCATAGCTAATAATTGTGATGTGTTAGTACTACTAGCCTAGGGACTGTATACTGAC